GCTCTTAAATTAAGAGATTCCTGATAGATAATCCGTTTGCCTAGAATTTGATCCATTTCTATTATTATTTTCTACACATTTTATTTCGGACGGATCTATGAATATTAGGATGGACTAAAAAAAAAAGAGAAAAGATTTTTGTGAAGGGATGTGTTTGAGTGAACAACATTTTGTAAAAGAATTGAATAACTCCATTAAGCTACTCTTGATCGCTAGTGAAGAGTGAGAAGCACTACTAAAACAAGGCTATTTTCCGATGCATTTTGCATCGGAAAATACTCAAAATGCATTGAAAAATGCTTACTTTTTAGTGCACAACATTGAAAGATATTGATAAAAAAAAAAGGTGTGCCAAATAGTTATTTTTCAGTGCAAAAAAATGTATTGGAAAAACTTACTAATATTTTCCAGCACTCAATGCTGGAAAATAATGGGTTATTACAAACCCATAATGTGTTTTAGGTTGCCATTATCATTATCATTTATTTCCAAGTGCTCAGTGCTTAAAATTAGTTGATATCTTACAAACATACCACTTATTTTCGAGTGCAAATTTATACTAATAAGCATACATATTATTTTCTAACATTGAGTGCTCGAAAATAGTTAATACCTTACGAAGATAGACATTATTTTCCATTGTTGAGCGTTGGAAAATAATATCTAGAAAATTTTTTTAAAAAAATCATTTTTACATTATTATAATGATAGACAATTAGTAAATATTTACAAATACAAAATAATATTTAATATGAATAAAATTAACCATAAAACAATATTATATATAGTAATTAAGATTATATATACAAAAATGTAAAACACACACTAAGTAAATATACAACACATATAATAACTAAAATTAAAAAAATTAAATTTATAAAATATTTATAATAAAATACTACTTTATAATATATTAAAATTAACTATACATAAACAATTATATTTAATATATTTAATATATTTACTTTATAAACAATATTTAATATGAATAAAATTAACCATAAAACAA